CAACTCAAAAAAAAAAAAAAAATTATAGTCCTTAGTCTGGTTAGGATTTCTTTAACTTTGCAGGTTTGAAAAAACAGATGGTCTGCTTAAAGGAAAGAGAGCAAGAATAAAGCTGAGAAAATTCTTTCAGGCATAACACATATGTGGGGTTTGTTAGGTGACCCCCTGTGGTACCATGACCCTTGACAAGCATGACTAATCAATTGGGCGCACCTTCCTCTTGAACTCCAACTGGGCCTCAGGAGTTTTTCCAGCAGCATGGTGGCCCCTATGGACGAGTGGGAACTGGTTTTTTTTTTTTTTTTTTGAGTCGGAGTCTCTGTCGCCCAGACTAGAGTGCAGTGGCCACCCCCGGCCACCGCAGCCTCAACCCGCTGGGCTCCAGCGATCCTTCCACCTCAGCCTTCCAAGTAGCCGGAATTACAGGCACGCGCTACCACGCCTGGCTGATTTTTTTATTTATTGTAGAGATGAGGTCTCACTGCCCAGGCAGGTCTCGAACCCGCGGGCTCGGGCAATCCACTCACCTCAGCCTCCTAAAGGCGCGGGATTACAGGCTGAGCCACTGAGCCCAGCTGGGAACTGGCATTTTAAGGAAGCCTAATTAATCTCTTGGGTGCTGGAGGGGGTGAAGGTGAAAGAGGGAGATGAGGTATGCTTCCCAAGGAGCTGCTTTTCTTGGACATGGCACTTTACGGTGGATGAGACGCCAGGGTGACCTTGAGCTGATTAAGGTTGCTGTCCTCTCTGAGGGCCTCCCGTTCTTGGGACAAGTTAGAAGTTAATGAGAGCTCTGTCATATCTTAGCCCAAATGACCCTGCTCACTTCTCCACAAGGTGGGAATCTGGGAATTCCTGATGCTGGGGTTTTTGGTTGTTGTTCAAATATATACAGCTCATTAAAAACTATATAATTATGGAAAAACCACAGGAAGACAATAAAAATTATCTGCAGTCTTACCATTTGAAGAAAACTACTCAATGCTCTGGTGTATACGCTACCAATTGTCTCGGCAAATAGAACATATTTAAATATTTTCTTAGGCTGGATGCGGTGGCTCACACCTATAATCCCGGCACTTTGGGAGACTGAGGTGAGAGGATTGCTTGAGCCCGCGGGTTCGAGACCCACCTGGGCAACTTGACAAGAACTCATCTCTACAATAAATTAAAAAATCAGCCAGGTGTGGTAGCGTATGCCTGTAATTCCCACTACTTGGAAGGCTGAGGCGGAAGGATCGCCGGAGCCCAGCAGGTCGAGGCTGCAGTGACCAGGAGTGGCCACTTCACTCCAGCCTGGGTGACAGAGTGAGACTCCAACTCAAAAAAAAAAAAGATATTATAATATGTCTTGTGGAAGAACTTATTTGTTTCATGTCTCATTTTAACACCTTGGAAATCCCAATTTATCCTGAAATCTATGGCTCATTAGAGCTTAATAGATAATTTTTTTGTTTCCCAGGGGCAAATAAAATGGTGCCTTTCATAATCATTTATTAATAATCAATTATCTTAATAATTTAAGATTACTTAAGGGCATATTTAATAATTTTAGGGTAATGTAATTAAGTTTGTATATATTTTTCCTCTTAAAAAACTGGAATTATCTTGCAACCTGTTTACTTTTCAATATGTTGTTAATTTCCAAACAATATCTCGCCACACCATTCAAATATTTACAAAAATATTTATTTATTGTAGTAGAGATGAGGTCATACTGTGTTGTTCAGACGAGTCTTGAACTCCTGGGCTCAAGTGATCCTCCCACCTTGGCCTCCCAAACTGCTGGAATTACGGGTGTGAGGAACTGCACGCCTGGCACTCTACAACATTTTTAATGGCAGCATGGTATTCCTTTTGTTGACTGATGTACATTAATTTAACTAGATGCCACATCTTGGAAATCAAGTGTGCTTCCTACTTGTTCCTAGAAGACTTTTCTATATATCTCTGATTTTTTTTTTTTTTTTGAGTTGAAGTCTCACTCTGTCACCCAGACTGGAGTGCAGTGGCCGCTCCCGGCCACTGCAGCCTTGACCTGCTGGGCTCCAGCAATCCTTTCGCCTCAGCTTTCCAAGTAACTGGAACTACAGGCGCGCGCTACCATGCCCGGCTGATTTTTGACTTATTGTAGAGATGAGGTCTTGCCAAGTTGCCCAGGCAGGTCTCAAACCCGTGGGCTCAGGCAATCCACTCACCTCAGCCTCCCGAAGCGCTGGATTACAGGCTGAGCCACCAAGCCTGTCTGATTATTTTTTAAGATAAACTCTGAGAAGTAGAAATATTGGATTCAAAGACTTTTTGAGTCAGAGTCTCACTCTGTCGCCCGGGCCGGAGTGCAGTGGCACACTCATAGCCACCACAGCCTTGACCTGCTGGG